TGAGGCACCAGCATGTTCCTGGGGCTGGGTTGGTGTCTTCCCTTTGGATTTAGATTTGATGGCAGGGATGGGGGCACATTTAGAGCAAGTTAAATTCTCTGCATCACTCACCTCTGCCAAGGCCAGGCATGGAAGGGTCAGTGGAACAGGGGCAGCCCTGGTCCTGCAGCAGTGCAGAGGCCCAGTGTTCGCATTGGGGCTGGGGTGGCCTCGGTGGTCCAGGCCTGGAGGTCTGTGAGGAGGCTGTGGCAGCATGCTGGAGCCCCACACATCCTGGACCAACCCTCAGTGGGTGCCTGAAGGGCCTTGAAGTCCAAGCTTTTGCCCAGGGCCACAGCGACACCCCGGTTGGGAGGGGGCAGGCCCATGTCCCTAGCATGAGGAGAGAAGGATGGGGAAATAACCAGCTGGCCTCACAAACCCCCTCTGCTTTTTGAAAATGTTCTAATGTAATATAGTAGTAATTTGACATGCATTTAAGTTTTAACACATTTAATTTTTTTTATAATTAGGAACTTTTATTGAATTTATTGGGTGACATTGGTTAATAAAATTACAGGTTTTGGGTGTACAATTCTATAATCTGTATTGTATTGTGTAACACGTTTTATATAAAATGTGATTTATCACATGAAATTAATCAAATTTGTTTCTAAATATTACTGATTTTTGTTATCAAGTGTATTATCATCTGGTGAGCTTTAACGTTTAAGCATTCTGGCTTTTGCCATTTTGGGGATCGGCAGGATGTGTTTGGAAGAAACATGAAAAAATAAAACTAGAGGCTCCTGTCCTCCCTCCCGCAGCCCCCAGTGCCAATGTGCTGAGGCCATGGGGGACTGAGGAATAGGAGCAGGGGCCTTCAGAGACTTTAGGAGGTCATTGGCCCAGATTTGACGGAGGGGGTGGGGAAGGGCTCCTGTGGACAGGGCATTTGGCCGCCAGCCACAGGTATCCTGCAGGCTCTGGCCAGTGTCCTGAGTCCCCCTCCCTCTCCTCCCAGTGCTGAGAGCCACCTGTTGGTGATGTGGGGCTGCTCTCGCTTTGAGAGTGTACCCACATCAAAGTAGTAGAATGTTCCCTCTGCCTCCATCCTCTGTGGGCCTGATACCCTCTGCAGTGCCTGCCCTTGGAGGCTGGTGATCCTGGACACAGAGAGGGTCAGGGATAGCTAGGGCTGTGCTGGAGGTCATGGTGGGCCACTGAGAAGCTTTGAGCAGGCATTCTGACCCCTTGTAAGCCTGCACTTTTACCCGTTGCCAGCAGTCTCTGTGCCAAGGGCAGAGGTGGCCCAGCCAGGTGGAAGAGGGGTTTGGGTGGGGTCAGGGAGGTTGTGATGGCTCAGTGACCTTGGGGGAGGCCGTAGAAGAGGCAACGGGTTCCTAAGGCTGGCTCCTGTCTGTGGGGGTGAATGCCTGCAGCCCATCATGAAGGAGCCCAGTTGGTACTGACTGGGTCTGAAAGGGCCGTCCAGCCAGAGAAGGTCTGGAGTCCTCAGTTAGTGGCTCCAAGGTGTGGGGCATCAAGTCCTGAGCCCCACCTCCCAGCTAGGTCCCCCCTGCTCTAGGCATCTCTGGACTCTCCCAGGAGACACTGTATTACGTAACACCTTTTATATTGGGGGACGTGGAGGGTGAGCCAGATACCGCCTGAGGCCTCCCCGCTTCCCCCAACCACCCTCCCTGCCTGTGGACGGCGTGGGCAGGGAGGCACAGGAAAAGGCAGAAGAAGGGGTGAGGGTGTAGAGGCCCCGACCCGGCCAGCCTATTTGAGAGGGCCAGGCTTTGGGGTTTTGTTCCCTTTTGT